TTCTTCGCGTCTCTTTAATCTGCTTTTATACTTGGATTTATTTGTAGCGTGAAAGCCGACGTATAAAATAATGCTTTTACCTAAAATGTGCACCCTGGTGTCAAAATTCAGTTTTCTTTTTCGTAGGCAACGCACCTCACCAATTCAGGTATAGCGGAGCAAGAAAGAATAAAATACTACTTACGATGCTCTCGTCCGTTGTTTACACAAATCCACCTCTGTATTGTTGCAGTCCGCAATCCGAAAAACGTCCTAGTCAAACAAGCCGCGAAACGTCGAAGAGAACTCAGCCACCTCAGCGGCGAGACTGGGCGACACTCACTGGAAAAAAGCGCGGTAAAACCGGTAAAACATTGACGCCATCACGTGATTGGGTAAACCGATCACATGACTTCCTGCGTCTGACTTTGCAGTGGACTACGTATTTACACGACCTGTAGCATTGCGCTATTTTGTGCGCTCATTTTACAATTTTTTTTCTTTTTTCATTTACGCGAACGAGTATTATTGATAACGATTCGCGAATTAACCCGAATGTACGGCTCTTACAAGAACTGCCGGCACCCCCGGTAGTCGGGCGCGCCGCGCGCTGTTCACCGCCGTGTTGAACAGGGAACGGCGCGCTCGACTACCGGGGATGGCGGCTTTTCGTGTAAGAGCCACTCCGGAGGCCGCTGGTACAGCCTCACGGCTCACTCGGCTCACCCCCCCCCCCCCCCCGGCTTCTTTTCGCTGTTTTTCGCACGATTCACGGTCGCACGTCGTTTTATCGAGTGTCAAGATCATGTTAAAGCGCTCACTACGTTGTCTTTTTTTTTTTTTTTTTTTTTGTATTGACACGCTTGATCCGGGCAGTTTAGGTTTTCGGTGCTCCTTTATGGCCATTCTTCACCCAGAAGCAACAAACAACTGCGCTCTTGGACTGAAGTTCGACCCGTCGGAGCGGGTGATGCTCTAGAGGAGTCTGCAATGGCGCGGGATCTTAAGCTGTGACAGCAAACGAAGAAGCTTCCGCAGGCCAAAGTCTGGATAGGTGGGGATGCCTTCCGGAGTTGGTGGTCAGGCTCGCAACGTCGGCAAAGGTGTGCAATCGGTCGCCGAGCAATCATGGAAGATGCGGTTGATGCTGTCATTTGCGAAGCGCGAGATTTCGTTGGACGACGCCGACGACGTGCTTCCAGAACGCAGCACTGACGACGACGGGACTGACATCACCAGTGCGGACGAGTCGTAGTTATCGTCATCATTTATTTTCCTTGAGGGCCCGTGGGGCATTATAGTCGCGGACAGAGTGTGAACGACAGATTGAGCAGCTTCTGTTGTCCCGCCTGCAGCGTGAACTTCTTAGTTTCGATGACGTCTGGACATCTCATGCACCTCGCGCGTGCATGCGCAGCTAAAGCGCGCCAGAGGGCATCTATCGCGTGTTGGAGGCTGGGCTTTCGAAACGGGTACTTTGCCGCTCTCACGTGTTCGCAGTAAAATGCGCATCTAAAGACTTTTGTGTGTGTGCGTGAGGGGGCGGGTGTGTGTGTGGGGGGGGGGGGGACTTACAATCGAGTAAATACGTACCAAAGCCATGGGCCGCTAGCTCCAATCGCGAGCCACTTGAAAATCACGTGATATGTCGCTATGCAGTGCACCATGCACTATATCACTCGTAGTTGCCGAGTCCTGATTGGACTGATAGTTTTGTAGCTTTGTCTGCAGCTCTACATAGCAGCGATGCATACAGCCGAATTCATAAACGGGCCTCGACTCGAACTCGACTCGAAACTCCGCTCGAGGCCGGTTTTGCGCTTCATAAACGGACCTCCACTCCAAACGCTCCTCGACTCGAGGAAATACTCGACTCTTTCCTCGAGAATCTCAAGGTAGGTCCGGCGCTTCCTCGAGCCGCTCCTCGACTTGAGTTTGGAGTGTCATGGCGGCCGGCGAGTCGTTCGCGTAGTTCGTGCACTTCGTTTTAAGCGCAGAAGAGATCCTCTACGACGACGCAGGCGACAGCGAATCGAGACGTGTGACGAGACGAAGTTTCCGAGAACGCTTGAACCCGCTGGAATACTTCAGTGACCGCGAATTTCTTGTGAGGTGCCGCTTCACGAAGGCGACCGTAGCGAGCACTCCGCTGTCTCTGCCAGGAGCGCGAGTGCTCAGGGCCTGCCGCCCTCAACGATGCTGCAGCTCCTCGTTGCTTCGAGCTTTTATGGTGCCAGGACGTTCCAAGTTGTTTCGGGAACCATGTAAACATGCCGCAGCCGACAGTGTGCCGGGTTGCGGAGCGAGTTTCGCGGCTCCTCGCACGGACCATTTTCACCCGCTCGGTGAAGTTCCCGCACGGCGCAGAGCGGGGCTGCTGCGAAATGAAGTTTCCAGGGGCGACTGGGTGCATTGATAAGAGGACCCGGCGGTCCCGATGTGGAAGTGTTCTCGAAAAAGAAATGGATACTTCTCCATCAACGTACAGGTAAGTTCACCCCTGTTGTTCGCGTTAGTAGTGCCAAACTTAATTAATCAAACTATACGCTGTGATGCGATATCGTAGGTCTACACTCTGACGTACCGATATCAATCAAAACTTTAAAACAAATCTGTGTACCGCGACAGTTTGCACGACCGAGCTTGCACGTACTCCCGTTCTTATGAAGAAAAAACGAATGTCATTAAACGGTTGCCGGCTCTTGTGAGAGCACAGAAATACGTTAAAATAAAACGAACTCCGGATCGGGTTACCGAGCACAATGATAGCAGCGGCCCGAGCGCACCCTCCTTGCAAGAATGATCATTTACCACAGCACATTTCCAGTGAATGTGGGATAAGACGATGTTGTGTTGCAACAGTCTCATCCCAGATGAACCTTTTTGATCGTCAGATTCTCAAATATGAAGACTTAAAATAAAACTAAATTAGAATGGAAAATTATGATGAACGAGTGTCTACTTTCTCCATACAGATGAAAGCATTCATTTGGTGGCATTCACTAAATTGTCTGTGCAATCTTTAACTACAACAGTCCCATATGTAAACAGTTTTTGTGTCTGCATGTGTCTGTGTCGTGTTTACCAAACTGCACGGCGAACACCCACTGCTCAACATTTGTTGTTTATCGAGGTTGTTTGTTTGTTGGTTCTTGGCATTTGTTGCTTAAATGAGACCGCGGCCTACGAGTCCACAGAAATATACAATAATGTAGGAAACGTACGCCGATACCACACCATTCGCAGATTGACATCATTCGGCAAGCAGCAGAGTGTACCGAAAATACAACTAGTACCAAAAGTCCATATCATACAGCATACCACGCGAACCGGACTGATGCCTGTAGCCATCTAAAAGAGACTTTCTGAAGCTTAATGTGCACGAAGGGACATTATCCCCTCACGAAAAAAAGCTGCGTACATCTTCAGAGTGTTATCGTACACAGCCCTTTCTATCAAAAACAGTAGTCTGAGCATGAATCGGACATACACTACTCCACAAACTAGTCCCATATTTTCTATTCAAACAATAATTGTGCAGTATTGTTCTTCACTCTTGTCTTATTTAGGTACCAAAAAAAGGATGTGTATTGATTCTTCATTCTTGTTTATGTAGGTACCAAAAGGCCCACTTCCAGACTAGGAACTCAGTGCAGCGGGCCTAGGCACTTTCCGTGCCTCGACATAAGGTTGCAGCACAAGCCTGAATGGTCAGCTGTGATGATCACAGGTGGACTTGCACTGCAAAACTTGGCCCACCTACAGAACGAACCACTTCCCGCTCTACCAGCCCCACCCCCCACTGACGATGCTGAAGGCAGTCTTATCTCCCATCGACTCAAGACGCCGTGGACAGATTCAACGGGGCAGTGGTGCAGGCTCAACTAATTACGTGGTGCTTCCAGTAGGCACTCAATGCAGAGCATGTCCTTTCTAGCCTAGGTCAGCGAAGAATCATGTCACTGGCCATGTTAAAGCTCAACATGCAATCGGGCCAGAAACAAATCAGCCTTATACTATGGCCACACACCTTCTAGTTTGAACCGAAAAAAATCCGCCGGTTTCTCAGCTAGTTGGTCACCACGGATTGTTGCAACGTCTTTGCTCTACTCAGGTTCCCGCTGGACGACAGTGTTTAAAACTATGCTGGTGGTTGCTGTTTTGTGAATCTTCCAAAAGAAGCATGACAAACTTGCCTTCTTTGTTGTGAAAACGTTTTGCTCCAGAACTATTCAATCTTTGTTATCACACAACGCAGGGGGGGTAGCAGGATGCAAAGAAAGTGAAAAGCTTCAGGTAATTACATTGAAATAACACAAAATTTTGCATGATCAGACTCGAGACTTTTCAGCAAGTTGTTCAGTGCACATTTGTTCGAAATACACTTATACATGAGAATGTCTGAAATCATGTCTTGCAGCTGTGACCCCATATGAAGAACTTTCGGTTAGAATATTGCAATAGTGCAGCAATTCCTTGTCAGGACACCCTCGGATGTTAGGCAGTCAAGGGTGTCCTACCTAAAAGTACCTAACACAAGCATGCAGGGCCCATGCACTCAAACTGATGGCATCACACTACGTATTACTGAATGTGAGCATGAATGAGGTGAGCACCGCTGCTCAATTACTGTATCACTATGTGGTCCGCTGCTAACTTGGGCCCAATTGCTACGTCGGCACTGTAGTAGTGTGCAGCGAAAGGGCAGTGAAGTCGAACTGGGGGGTTTTACGTGCCAAATCAACGACGGGCATCTGGCATGCCCCAGCAGAGAACTGAGGATTAATTTTGACCACCTGGGGATCTTCTGACAAGCAACCAAAAGCTCGGTCACATGGCGCCACCTCCGCAATGAAAAGACAATGGGCAAGCCTCGTCAATGTGGTGTTGACTTTACTCTGGTAGGCGGTGCCAGTCCATAGAGGATTACGAGGCACAAATCCCCGGACTGGAAATGAGACGTCTGAACTCAATGAAAACTATGGCAAAACTCTGTGACAACAGCATTTAATGAACGAGGCTGCACATGGACAACACAATAATAAAAGAGACATTATATAAATAACAGTGGCAATGTTTAGGAAACACCTGGCTGTACATTCAAACAGATTCCTATATTTCCTTCAAGTGGATCGGTGGTCGATTGCATTAACGCATCACACCTTGGAGCACGTGGAGTGAAAGCTCGCACAGCTGAACATGGGAATCTTGAGTTATATTTCTGCCTCTGCCTGTATCGATGTGGATGATCATTGTAACACCATGCGGTTGTGTATCACTACTGTGATGTAAGTTAAAAACTCAACGATAGCTGTGGTACGGCACTGGCTCAATATCTCGTCTACAGTGGAGACAAGTTACTCACTGGGGCTGACTAACTTCCTGTTGTCTAAACATACAAACAATGTAATTAGTAAGAAAGAAAAATACTCGGTTACTTTTTAAGTTTTAAAAGAATAGATTTAAAGCTGACGTAGCTGCCCTTTTGCATGTTCACTACAGATAGCCAATAGAGAAACAAGTTTAAAAAATGCTGGGCTTTACTGAATGAGATACGGTCAACACTTGTAACAACTTCAGGTCAGGGATAAAATGAAGCAAGTTATAGACATTAAAAAAGCATTGTTAAACACAAAAAAGAATGGTAATTACTAAAGAGAAAGATGAAACAAATCGAATAAATCAGCCTACTGTTGTGGCTGGGCCCCGAGAACAAGCAGTTGTTGCAGCTTGATTAGTTTGTTGAGCTGGAGCAGCTCAAGTTCGAACCAGCTCGTTACGCTGCTGCTGATGGAAAACCTGGGCCTGCGTCTGCTAATAGGCAACCTGACTCTGACGTAGCTCCAGCTGCAGCAGGTGCAGCTCCTCCAGTCGGTTCACTCGGACAACCACACGTGGCGGCTGAGGAGGTAGAGGAGTCGGGGACTTAGTTGGTGACGCAGCAACCGCAAACTCCGTGATGTCACCCCAGTCCAGCAGGAGTGAGGCAGGCGAATCTAGGCAAGCACAACACATTGACGCCGAGTGTTACAGGCACGGTGAAGACACCGGAAAATGGTAGAAACTGCTACAACAACCCCATTATAGAAATGTTAGATGTCAACTGTTGGTAAACATGAAAGTCTTTCTTCCTTGTTCTGACCGTTCCTTTCTGTGATACTGTCAGTAGCGGCAGCTCAGGCTCCAAATGGTGATACCGTCAAAAGAGACAGCGCTGTTATCTCCGACTTCCTGGCCCTTGGGCAAACGTGTGGCGTATTCGTCAATAAACATGTCATTATCCAGACCCAAGGAATTTACTGTGTTCCTACGTGGCACCCCTAACAAGTCGCATTCATGAAAATGCGGCTCATTGTCACAGTTTTTAGGGTTCCTACGAGACGGTATGCCAAAATCGAAATAATAAACGGAAGGGCAGAGACAGATGTTTTCTATAAACAAACACTGGAAGCCGTGTGATCAAGTAGCAACTAACCTTCATGTGTACGTAGCAAATGCAATCGAAACTTTTTACCAGGCATCATGTCAGTCGTCACGCTCGTTCACTGTGGCTTCGGGAATGGCGGCTGGCAGCATTGAGAGCACCTGCTAACCAGCGCGGGTGCTGCCACTGTTCTACGGGCTTGGCAGCCGCATTGCCATGTCGGACATCAGTGCCCCCACAAGCTGGAGAGACGGGCTCATCGTTCAGCAGGTGCGACACCAGCGCCCCCTCCTGCAACGAAAGGCCAAAGAATACCCTGTGAAAGCACCCATGAGTCGAGATGTACACAGCACAACGTAGAAAGAAAAACAAATCATACTACAACTTATGCGGTACAATTTGTCGTTCGACACTTAACTGCAAGAATGAAATGCGAAACAAGTGATGCCGTACCTGTGCTGTTTCTTGCTCTGCATGGAAAATACTGGAGTAGCTTAGTGTGATCATCGACAACAGTCATATTGCGGACACACAATTTTTCAAATCAATAATGTATACTCCTACCCATATTAAATTTGTGCTCGCTTAATCATGCCAGTACAATGCGCTGGTTAACCTCGCAAATAAATGACAATGGTTGCACACTAACATGGACACCTGAAAAAAGACAGCTGCCAACAACTGGACTCCAGCACGTCTCATGTCCATATAATGGCATTTCTTATGAGGTTAAAATTAAGAAATGAGAGCTAATAGTCAATAATACCGGCACAATTGTTTTTCTTCAAATGATTAGCAAATAAGGAGAGGAGTTGATGAAGAAAGAATAAACAATTAAAACAGGGACAACACAACCACATCTTTCAACTAGCAACAGACGAGTAAACTTTCAACAGCGAGCAGCCGACTATACCCAGTAGGAGTAGGGGAGAGAAGGGGAGAGAAGGAAAGATAAAACACGCGAAGTGCAAGTCAGGGTGGTAGGGTTATCTCGAATTTTAAAAATTCAACCTCAGTTTTCGTCAGCAGGAGGGAAGGGTTTGACACGTTTTTTGCTGTGGTCATGGCGAATGATTCTATGATTTCCCTGCCGAATCTGCTGTCATGCCCCCCAAGGATTTTTGTGTCATCAAAGAGGGGATGACAACGCAAACACGAACGGGCATGTATGACTATGGGATGATAAGAATCTGGAGAGGCCTTAGAAACTTCGTTGTGATGTTCTCGGAGTCGGTGATTGGTGCATCTGCCGGTCTGTCCTATGTATTGATGGCCACAGCTCAAGGGGATGGAGTAAACTTTCTTCTCTTTGCAAGGAATGAATTTCTTTTCGTGTTTGACAGTGCATCCAATCGGAATCCGGTTGTTGTTCACTTGTTGACAGAGTTGTTTAAGACGCATGCGGCACGAGAAGACAACATTCGTGTCGAACATTGAGGCAATGGATTTTATCCGGTGGGCTGAATTGTGTACGTAAGGAATGACGGCGAATCGGGCTTTCTTTTTTGTGGCTGGTGACTGGCGATCAGGCCCGCGAATCATCCTTTCCATTACAGATCGGAGAAGGTCGACGGGAAACCCTGCCCTGACAAGCCTCATGTGCTGCAATTTGAAGCTATCTTCTGAAAGATGACAGCAAGACTTCGTGAAGGATGAAGAAAACAACGATTTGATGATACCGTGTTTTACCGACTTCGAATGGGCGCTAGAAAACGGTAGGACAGGTTTGGAAGACCTTTGTTGAAAGGCCCAGCAGAGTCCAGTGGCACTGACATGAAGCCGCAAATCTAGGTTCTGAAGACCTTCATTTGATGGTTCTTCCTTCGTGAATGTAAGGCCCGACGAACAAGCGGAAAAAACAGCTGTAATGCTATCTGGAGAAGTTCGAGCAGGATGAATGATTAGGTAATCGTCCACAAATCTGAAAACATGGCAGCCAGGCGCGGAGATGTCCAGTTGTGCTTGTATAGATCTGTCAACGAATAAAAGGGATAATTCACTGAGAACAGGGGCGAGACATGAACCGATGCAAACTCCCTTTTTTTGGCGGTAGATCCCTTTCTCATGTTCGACTAAGGTGGACTGGAGATATAGATGAATCAGGTCCACGAATCCAGCAACGGAGACACCGGAGGAATTCTGAAAATCCACAGCTCCGTGCTCAAAGATGGCGTCGGTGATTGAGGCAAGCAAAGCGGTAGGATCTAGATTGAAATACATGTCTTCTATGTCAAGTGAAAAATAGAGTGGCGCAAGGAGAAGAAATGTTGGGAACTGATGACAGAGATGAGTTCTATTGAGTTAGACACTCTAAAGGGTTGAGGGAGGTGGATGCTGGACAGATGCTTTTGTAGAAAGAGCCCGAGCTGCTTCTGCCAACAACCCTTCTCCGACACAATACTTCGGAGGGGTACTCCGGTCTTATGTGTTTTTGCAGTGAAGAAAACTGAAAGGTACTGCTTCGCTGGACTACTAATGGCGGTTTTTATGGACGACAGATTCAAAGACGAGCAGAGTTGTTTAGCTCTTGACCTGAGGGTCCCAGAGGGTCGCGATTTCAGTTTGAGAAAATTTTTTGAAAGGGCAGCTTTCACCTTATCTCCAAAATCTCCCTCCTCTAACACAACAAACACACCAATCTTATCGGAGTCTAACAGCTTTAGGTGTCTTGACGAAGCTCTTCAACAGCGGCGAGTAGAGAGATCTTGCCTGGCTTGGGGGGTGGGTGGAAGCACACGGCGCGGATGGCGGAGCCGAGGAAATCTTGCCTCTGTGGTTCTGGGATGGCGGCGGCGACTTGATGAACTGAGGCGAGTTGATCAACCTTCTTAGTAGGAAGGTCTGGGGCGAACTTGGGGCCTTTGAAGAGCAATTCCATGGTGTCAGACGAGATAGCAGTTTTGCACAACAGGACTGGCGGTTCAAACTTCGTTTCGTTCAGCTCACGGCAGGAGGCAGTCACTCCAGCAATCACTTCTTTCCACTTCTTTCTACAAAAGCATCTGTCCAGCATCCACCTCCCTCAACCCTTTAGAGTGTCTAACTCAATAGAACTCATCTCTGTCATCAGTTCCCAACATTTCTTCTCCTTGCCCCACTCTATTTTTTCACTTGACATAGAAGACATGTATTTCAATCTAGATCCTACCGCTTTGCTTGCCTCAATCTCCGACGCCATCTTTGAGCACGGAGCTGTGGATTTTCAGAATTCCTCCGGTGTCTCCGTTGCTGGATTCGTGGACCTGATTCATCTATATCTCCAGTCCACCTTAGTCGAACATGAGAAAGGGATCTACCGCCAAAAAAAGGGAGTTTGCATCGGTTCATGTCTCGCCCCTGTTCTCAGTGAATTATTCCTTTTATTCGTTGACAGAGCTATACAAGCACAACTGGACATCACCGCGCCTGGCTGCCATGTTTTCAGATTTGTGGACGATTACCTAAACATTCATCCTGCTCGAACTTCTCCAGATAGCATTACAGCTGTTTTTTCCGCTTGTTCGTCGGGCCTTACATTCACGAAGGAAGAACCATCAAATGAAGGTCTTCAGTACCTAGATTTGCGGCTTCATGTCAGTGCCACCGGACTCTGCTGGGCCTTTCAACAAAGGTCTTCCAAACCTGTCCTACCGTTTTCTAGCGCCCATTCGAAGTCGGTAAAACACGGTATCATCAAATCGTTGTTTTCTTCATCCTTCACGAAGTCTTGCTGTCATCTTTCAGAAGATAGCTTCAAATTGCAGCACATGAGGCTTGTCAGGGCAGGGTTTCCCGTCGACCTTCTCCGATCTGTAATGGAAAGGATGATTCGCGGGCCTGATCGCCAGTCACCAGCCACAAAAAAGAAAGCCCGATTCGCCGTCATTCCTTACGTACACAATTCAGCCCACCGGATAAAATCCATTGCCTCAAAGTTCGACACGAATGTTGTCTTCTCGTGCCGCATGCGTCTTAAACAACTCTGTCAACAAGTGAACAACAACCGGATTCCGATTGGATGCACTGTCAAACACGAAAAGAAATTCATTCCTTGCAAAGAGAAGAAAGTTTACTCCATCCCCTTGAGCTGTGGCCATCAATACATAGGACAGACCGGCAGATGCACGAATCACCGACTCCGAGAACATCACAACGAAGTTTCTAAGGCCTCTCCAGATTCTTATCATCCCATAGTCATACATGCCCGTTCGTGTTTGCGTTCTCATCCCCTCTTTGATGACACAAAAATCCTTGGGGGGCATGACAGCAGATTCGGCAGGGAAATCATAGAATCATTCGCCATGACCACAGCAAAAAACAACGTGTCAAACCCTTCCCTCCTGCTGACGAAAACTGAGGTTGAATTTTTAAAATCCGAGATAACCCTACCACCCTGACTTGCACTTCGCGTGTTTTATCTTTCCTTCTCTCCCCTTCTCTCCCCTACTCCTACTGGGTATAGTTGGCTGCTCGCTGTTGAAAGTTTACTCGTCTGTTGCTAGTTGAAAGATGTGGTTGTGTTGTCCCTGTTTTAATTGTTTATTCTTTCTTCATCAATGACTTAAACCAACACGCTCTTCTACCAAGCAAGGAGAGGAGGTGCTCGGTTTAATTAACATACTCTAAACTCCTACTTAGCGTAACTTCTACGTGCACTAGTGTCAGTTTCGTCCGTCGCGTTTTATTGATACGTCCGGGTTGCCTCTCTAATCTCAAGAAAGGGGCCGGAGCTCAAGCTACGGTAGTGTGACGCAACCAGAATGTTCGCTGCGTAATTTTCGCTTAGATATAGCACAATACGCAAACGTAAGTTGTCGATGTCGGCACAAGAATCACCAAAAATAGCGACAATTCGCCGTCACTGCCCACCTACGGCCTCGACACTAACATGCTTGACTAGCTCCTGCGGACGCTGCAGGTAGCCACGGAAAAGTCCCTTACAAAGTTATTTAGTACACACGTCCTGTCATGTGATTTTGCGAACGCGTTGCGTTATTCTGTCCGAATATTGAAATTGCTTACACACCTGTTGCATGGATGCCCTGCTTCTTCTCGGAGTCTGTTTTCTTCCACTTGGATCTACCTTTGTCCCAACACTCGTGGGCGGACATGCGGCTGGCGGTTATACTTGGTGCAGACTCTTTTACGCGTCAATTTCAGCTTCTTTCGCGCAGTTGTTAGTAGAACGACGAAGAAGCTCCCCTTTATGGAACTACTCGCCCCTTCTTGTCACCTTCGTGGAACGACATCGTTGTAGGGCAAGGCACTCTAGTAGGACTCTGAAGAAAGAGGAAGGGTGAAAATGCTCGTTCCAGGCGGTGACAGCGATGCAGGCAAGCGGTGAGGCAAGGTGAGACGGCGAAGAACGGGCGAGACGACAGCAGCGAGCTACAGGTGCCCCTACGACCATGGAGAATAGAAGGGTAGGAGAGGGCATGACGTCGGCCGCGTAGCCTCCGCAAGCCATGCTCCCTTGACGCCTCGCCTCTTTCTCATTTTCCTCCTTACTCTCCTCACTTACCTTGCCAACGTGACCACATCACGTGACCGTAGCACGCCTTCGTCTTGCTATGGGGTACTAGAATACACCACAGTATAGACTTCGATCTGATAAAACCTACCGGACGGAGCGCGCGCAAGCCTGGGAAGAGTCCTTCTACAATCAACCATCCATCTCACACGTGACATGTCACGCGCACCAATCGCCAGAGAGACCTGCAGTCACGCTGGGCACAAAATTGTTTAAACTTTTTATGACTAGGCTTCACCAATATTGCAACGTGCCCCCTCCTAGTACTTCTAACCTCCTTGCCTACGACGCAGAAGCGGGAGAGCGGCCGCCACTGTTGCCAGACTGGAGAACGCTTGTGGCTGTTTGTCCGAAAACCGGCTCAAACGCATAAAACGTGCGTTATGCGAAGCAGAAATCTTGCAGGCTTTCGATTCAATGTTAGTAAAATGTGTCCCTTCAAATAAAATGAACTAATATGTTCATAACTCACACTATAATATTGTTTTCAACTTCGTTTTTTACTACAACCTCGAAACCAGACGGCTTTCACGTCTCCTCGAGTTCGCTCGAGTGGAGGAAGTTTTCTCGAGGAGCTCCTCAGCCGAGGAAACGCCGAGGCGCGTCTGTGAAGCCCAATGGCTCCTCTAGTGGAGGCGAGCTGCTTTCCTCCACTCCAGTGAGTCGAGGTGGAGTGTCGAGTCGAGGCCCGTTTATGAATACGGCCGATAGCATCGAATGAAGAATACAAAGCTCCCCTTTGCTCTCTTTGTACATTTATTGTGTTACGCGCTCGCATTGTTGGCGGCGGGAAGGCATCCTGCAACCCAGGGCCGTAGTTTCATTTTTTTTTTTTTTTTTGGTGGAGGTGGGGGGGAATTCCGGAACACGGTGGCCGTCCTGAATTACCGTTTTTCGTATTTACTTTTTAAAAACACAAGCATATCATACGGGTTTCCTTCAAACGTACGTATTTATTGCTAGAGCGAACATCTCTGTCTCACCTAATGATGGACCGCAGAGGACTCTACGAGCCATCCCAGCCAATCCAGCTCTGAGTGTCACCTTACCCTCTGTGGTGTGCTCTGCGGAGCTCAAGGTCATATGATTTTCTCTCAACCCTTGATTGGCGAAGACGGTCTCTAGGATCCGCTACTGTCCACTGTGCGGGAAAACGGAGCGTGGTATGAGAATGGGGAAGCGAGGCGGGCCCGGGGACCTGGATCTTCTGCTGCGGGGGATGGCACCCACGCACTTGGCTGAGAGAGAAAAACAGGAGGGCGCTATCCGGAGTCGTTCCCAGAAGACCGGTCGTGGCCGGATGCTTGCGGCTTTCGGGGTGCGGGGAAGACACGCTGGAATTCACGTGGCTCTGGTTAGCAGTAATAGTAAGGAGTGCGCGTGTGCGCTCGCTCCAGCATCGTTCGCTATGGATAGCTGTGAGCCAGTGGCGTCGCTAGGATCAGCGGCACCCGGGGCGGCAGCCCTCCGCTACACCCCCCTCCGCTCTCGCAGCCCGCCGCAACCTCCCCCCCCCCCCTCCCCTCCCCCCCCCCTCCACCGCTCTCGAGTAGCCTGCCGCGACACCTCCCTGAGGCCTACACCCGAAGCAATCCGCCCCCCCCCCCTCCTTTGTGACGCCACAGCTGTGAGCCCTTAAAGGCCCGTTCACACTCTTGCGACCGAGTTAGACCTAGAGAGACCAGACCGGTTTTTAAGCCTCTTGCGACTTCTTAGGACCAGCTCCGCTGCATCGCATCCGGTCCTAAGAAGTCGCAAAAGGCTTAAAAACCGCTCTGGTCCCTCTCCGTCGAAGTCGGTCGCAAGAGTGTGAACGGGCCTTAAGGGCGCAGGTCTCCTGGAATATAGGGTCACATTCACATACCTGATATATTTCGGCATGAACCGCAATGGGTCATGCCCCTTCTGCTCGTGACGTGCTCGCGTTTGTCCTTCGTTTTCGGGTTTTGTATTTTTCAAAAAAAAAGTGAAAGCCGCTTACAACTCCCTGTAACGCCGAATTAGAGCGCAGCTCTTGAGGAGGAGGGAAGGGCGCTGGGGGGGGGTTAGACTAACCAGAGGGGGGTCACGTGTCCTTGGGGGGTCACGTGACCTTGGGGGTCACGTGACCCCCAATGCCGATGATGTCATCAGTGACGATGACGATGCGGGTACCGATGACGTCATTAGTGACGTCACTGATGACTTCACCAGTGATGATGACGATGACGATGCGAATGTCGGTGACGTCATCAGTGACGTCGCTGACGACGTCATCAGTGATGATGACGATGACGATGCGGATGCCGGTGACGACATCAGTGACGTCACTGATGACGTCATCAGTGATGATGACGATGACGATGCGGATGTCGGTAACGTCACCGGCATCCACATCGTCATCGTCATCATCACTGATGACGTCACCGGCATCCACATCGTCATCATCACTGATGACGTCACCGGCATCCACATCGTCATCGTCATCATCACTGATGACGTCACCGGCATCCACATCGTCATCGTCATCATCACTGATGACGTCACCGGCATCCACATCGTCATCGTCATCATCACTGATGACGTCACCGGCATCCACATCGTCATCGTCACTGATGACGTCATCATCATTGATGACGTCATCATCACTGATGACGTCACCGGCATCCACATCGTCATCGTCATCGTCACTGATGACGTCACCGGCATCCACATCGTCATCGTCATCATCACTAATGACGTCACCGGCATCCACATCGTCATCATCACTGATGATGACGTCATCAGTGATGATGACGATGACGATGTGGATGCCGGTGACGTCGAAAGTGTCGATGACGTCATCGGGGGGTCACGCGACATCGGCGGGGTCACGTGACCTCGGGGGGTCACGTGACCTCGAGGAGGGGGTCACGTGACCTCAGGGGAGTCACGTGACCCCGGTGGGGGGCTCGCGCGGTGCATTATGGGAAATTTCCCATGATGCACCGCGCGGTTACGCCGACGCCGACGGCGACGGCGACGCCAACGGCGACGCCGACGCCGCTCAAGCCGGAAACGGGCCCCTAAGAGCTGCGCTCTAAAATTGGGGGTAAAAATCGGGCGACGGGTGTTGGTCGAATATATTTCGGAGGTAGGAGGGGAGGGGTCGAACCTTGAAACCCTCCCCTTGGGTATGGCCCTGCTGTAACCTGAAGCTGAGCATCCCATCCCATGGAGCTACGTGTGTTAGCATCCTGCTGAGCACGAGAGCTCAGAGAGAGACGAGGACGACGATGAGCACCCGCGAAACATGCAACAATACGAATGTTAAAAGCTCTATGCATATAAAATGCTTTCTACCTTTTGACAACTGCGTAGTTGACGACTAACAAATCAGAAGTGTGATGAGTACGTCTGCGACCTGTACACGGTGAGCAGCTTTATTCTACGATTCTCAAAGCGGTAGAAACTGTGTCATCGGACCAGCTCGTTCTACAGGGGTGCTATGTTGCGCTTTTTGGACTCCCAGGGGTGCTATGCTGCGCTTTTTGCACTCCCAGGAGACTTGGAAGAGGGAAGTGACGTCAACGACACAGCAAATGCAGATTGGATGTTGACAGAAGAAAACAAAATCAACACCCAATCTGCGTTTGCTGTGTCGTTGACGTCACTTCCCTCTTCGCAGTCTCCTGGGAGTGCAAAAAGCGCAACATAGCCCCCCAGGAGACTAGGGAGAGGGAAGTGACGTCAACGACACAGCAAACGCAGATTCGGTGTTGATTTCGTTTTCTTCCGTCAACATCCAATCTGCGTTTGCTGTGTCGTTGACGTCACTTCCCTCTCCCTAGTCGCCGTGGGAGTCCAAAAAGCGCAACATAGCACCCCAGATGACTGACAGCACCGGGCACGATCTACGAAGGCAGGGGCGCTTGCGAAGCCGTCCGCCGGGTGCAAGCCAAGGTTACTGCGAAAGAACAGGCCATAAAGAAATCACGAGCGTGGCTGTCGTAGACAACACTCGATTCCTTCAGCAACCTGACGAAGCGAATCCTGTAGCTGTGACTGCTGGTATCGACGACACCGACGGAGTCGCTGATGCGTTAGAGAACCATCAGGCAACGGAAGTTCGTGCATCAAATGAATACTTTGCTACACTGCTGCAAACGGCTATCCAGAGTGCCGTGCGGGAGGCGATGAGCGGCATGGCTACGCTTCTTCGTGCCGGCCAACAGCCACTTCAAGACGCGCGACCACCTGCGGACTCTGGAAAGCTTGTATACCTGTCTTTAATCCTGCGGTATTTCCATCGCAAACAGTAGAACAATGGATCAAAAAAGTTGAACTTTCCACAATCTACGCGTGGAGTGATCGACAGACGTCGTGCTTTGCCATCACGAAACTGGAAGGGGTTGCAAAGGCATGGTATGATGGATTTTCGAGCGCACAGCGATCATGGCAAGAGTGGAAAGATGAATTGAAAAGATTGTTCCCAGATGTGAAAAGCTGTCAGCGTCGCCATCAGGAGATGGTGGTTCGAAAACGACGAAAGGGTGAGAACATCGAATTGCACTTTCATGAAAAGGTTAGCCTCGCCCGTCTCTGTCAACTCCCTGAAAATCAAATTGTTAAGTAAGTCGTCACTGGTCTTGATGACGAGGCGATGGTGCGAAGTTTAAGCGTTGGAACTTTGTTTACGCC